GTGGAGCGATGCACGGGCTCGTGAGCTGTTGGCCTTGTCTTCTCCCACACTTAGCCAAATTTCGCCTCTTTTCGTTTCAAATTTTCAACGCTACTCAAAAACACATAAATACTCGATTTCTCTCATCATATTTTTTATTTTTTTGGATCAGCTCTAACAAGTCGGTACTGCCGAGCAGGTCGGCACGAGCTCTCAATTTTTTTCTTATATATAAAAAGGAAAAGAAGAGAAAAAAATGAAAACAAAAACGTGGGTTGCCTCCCACGAAGCGCTCGGTTTATAGTCGTGAGCTCGACTTTCCCCTACAATTCAAAAATCACCCGGGCATGGCTCGATGAGCCCCTCCATCCTCATTTTGGGACTCGTCAAAGAACACATTCGCCCACTTACTTCTCAGAAATACCGGAGGCTTCTTCTTCCAACCATCCTCTTTCTCAAATTTCATCCCGGTTTTTGTGAACTTCCACCTCCCGGTACTCGTATCATCTTTCAAGCTCGATGGGGTGTCTCCCGGTTTTACCTCTCCACTTGCCCGATTTCACATTATTATCGACTCCATCACCATCTTTCAATTTCTCACCTTTCACTCCAACTCCAAGTTTATCCTCAAAGCCATATTTAACATTCTTTCCCAACTCCATAACATCATTTTTTTCTACAAAACCATTGCAATTAACAAATTTAGATTAGAGTCAAGATGTACCTCCTTGTCGATGTCCTCTATGAATGAGCATTGGCCAACTTTGGGTGCAGCTTCCCGGGCATTGTTCATCGTGAAAGTCGCCATCTCTCCATGAGCCGAGAGAGTGACTCGTCCCTCCTTGACGTCGATAATGGTGTTGGTCGTCGCCATAAAGGGTCGACCATTTGGGACATCTCCAACGTCAAGGACTACGAAATCGACCAGAACGACAATCGAACCAACCTTGACCAACACATCTTCAATTATACCATTTGGCTCCCGTAAAGTGCGGTCCGCCAATTGGAGGCTCATCCGAGTCGGCTTAAGCCCTTGCAAACCCAATTGCTTGTAGATCGAGTAGGGCATGAGGTTGATACCGGCTCCCAAGTCTAGCATCCCGGTTGTAGTCTTCCCATTCCCGAATGTAATCTTCATGACAAAGGCTCCCGGGTCACATTCTTTCCGAGGTATGGTAGTCGAGGCTACCTCGGAAATCATCACCTTCTCATTATCCACGAACTTCCTCTTTTTCGAAGCTAGGTCCTTGAAATTGAACATATGCCGACACGTTTTTGATAATTTCCAGAAGTGGGAGGTTCACGTTCACCTTCAAGAGCATGTCGAAAAGATCTTTGAATTGACGCTCCTTCTTTGTATCTTGCAATCGGCTCGGGAAAGGAACCGGTGGTCGGTAAGGTGCATCCGCTTTATGTAAAGCCTCACGGGCATCTTTCTTCGAACTCTCCTTCTCAATTCTCTCATCAACAACGGCTTTCCCTTTCGAAACCTCAACCTTCTCACCCGGCTCATCATCATCCTCATCAACAACAACTTCAACAACCTCGTTTTCCTCGGGTACCTCAACACGATTATCGACCTTCTTACCACTTCTCAACACCGTAATAGCATTCAAGTGCTCGGGTTGGCTCGGGAGCTTGTCTTTCATCTTGCCCCTTTGAATTTCCCCTATGGAACTCCCGATTTGCCCTATTTGAGTCTAGAGGCATTTGAGAGAGGCTTGAATCAATGGTACTCCTTTGACGGTGTCATGCAACATGGAGACGGTAGAGGCCAACGATTGAAGACACTTCTCTAAGCTTTCGATCCGAGTCTCTGAGGATTCTCCGTTAACATTCCTCTCGGGCTAGGGTGGAGGTGGCAAAGGTTGCCTCGGAATGAAGCCTCCACGCCCTTGTAGATATCCTTAAAACTTGGGCCTCGGTTGATAGCCTTGGAATTCAGGTCTCGGTTGGAAAGGTGGTCGGTTGTTCGGTTGAGCATATTGTTGAAATTGGGAATAGGCTTGTTGTGGTGCCGGTTGGGATGGGTAGGTTGCTTTCGGGTCCCTCCATGAAAAGTTAGGGTGGTTTCGCCACCTGAGATTGTAGGTGTTCGAGTACGGATCATTTTGAACCTGGGGGGTGTACCCTTGGATAGCATTGATTTCGTAGGGGACTCCTTCAAGATTTGGGTCGTAGGCCGGCACCATATAATTCGGACACTCGTGGCCTCCATGGCCGGCCTCTCCACAACACCCGCATACTTCGGCCATCACAACTTGGGTCGATTTTGCATCCCTTAGCCGAAGTTGCTTGAGTTCTTCTTCCAACGAGGCAAGCTTGGCGAGAACGACATCGTTCGAGGACCCGGTCGATGGTGTAGCCTCATTCACGGGGGCCCTCTTAAACGCTTTTCCTTTGAGAATTTTCACTCAACATCTCATAAAGATTATAAACCTCCTCCTCTGTGTGGCTCCCTATGACTCCATCGGCCGCATGATCGACCATGTATTGAAGGGTTTAGTGGAGACCATCATAGAAGAATTGGTTGAGCACACCGAGGCAAAAGTGGTGATGTAGGCATTGAAGTTGATAGCCCTTGAATCGTTCCCAAGCCTCATGGAAAGTCTCACCGATATTTTGGCTAAAGCTAGCAATTTGAGTCCGGAGGTCGGTGGTCTTTTGATGAGAGTAGTACTTGCTCATGAACTTCTCGTATACGGCTTCCCACGTGTTGAGCGAGCTCGGAAGCAATGTCATGAACCATGTTTTTGCTCTATCTTTCAAAGTATATAGGAAGCACCTCATTCGGAGTTGGTTCTCAGTTAGGCCTTGGAGTGGGAATGTGTTGACGGTTGCATAGAAGTCTCGAATAAAGTTGAGGGCATCTTTTTAGGCGAGGCCATAGAATGATGGGAGTTGATTTAGGTGGGTGGTCTTGAAATCATAGTTTCGGGCCGCCTCCCCGAGCACGAGACATGAAGTGTTGTCTCCAATGATAGGCCGTGCAAAATATCTTATTTTCGGGGGAGGTGGTGGAAGTTGCTCTCCTTGTCCCGCCATTGATTCGATTTCAGGCTCGGGTTGTGGTTCTTCGATATTGAGTTCAACGAAGAGGTCGAATGGCGGTGGCTCCTCTCGGGGTTTACGCCCTCGTTTACCTCGCATAAACAAAACCACAAACTATACCCGTGAACGCACCAATGGAAAGCAAGGGAAATATCGAAATTGCAAACACAAGCTAAAACAAAACTTACCTAGAAAATCAAGAGAAATAAAGAGGAATACGGAAATTTAAGCAAAAATCACAAAAATCAAGAGAAACACGAGAAAAAGGAACAATCAAATAGCAAATTAGGGGTCCTACTTGCCTTTCCTGGCAACGACGCCATTTGTTTAGTATAGAATTAATGGGCAAGGGATAACCGAGTTACCCGACTCGGTCGATCTCGAGGGAAGGCTATTCGGAGTTTTATCTACTAAATGATCGTCCAAATCACAAAAAGGGAAAATAAAATCCTAAACATTCTAAACAATTGATTGGATGGTTGATTAACACTAATCGAGCACTTAAAAACGAGCAATTAACTAGAAGCAAGATGAAATCGCGAGCAATTAGCAAACTAGATCACCGGAGTCTCATGCCATGACCATATCGGGATGATAATCAATCGACAAATGGAATAAACGAGCTACGAGCATTAGATTGCTAACCCCAGTCGTCTAACTGAGATCAACAAGCAATTAACGGCTCTATCTACTCAAGCAAGCAATCAAGTTCAAGCATTTCCACCATCATCAATCAAATCCAACTTTACTCTAATGAACATTATTAGTAAAACCGGAGCAAAAACCGAAGTAAAGAGCTTTTAAACTAAATACTCATTCTCCCATTGCGTAGACGATGAAAAACAGAGTCAAAAGCTCGAAACTTGAACGAAACCGAAGTCACCGGAAAATCTCCCAAAAATAGCATAAGCTCGTAATCTAGAGAGCAAAAATAAAACATAAACTAATTTCCCAAAGAGGAAAAGTGA